ACTTGTACATATCAAGCTGTAAGGGCTGGCCAATATATGGGAGCCCTTCCATAGACTTAAATGGGCATTGGATAAGACATTATTAGATGAGTACTTTACAGAGAAAATTTAAGTGACACAAAACTTCTCAGAAAAATACGGACTTATCCAGAAAATTCTCAAGTTATCAGCACTAGCATACACATCATCTGCAATATATAGCCTTAAGATACATCATCACTGATTTGTTTAAGAAAAACAAAAGAAATATAACCCATGTACAAAGGGTACCAACTGAGTGGGAATGGCAAAAATCCTAAACATTGTACAACATTGTGCAACATTAATGTAAACAAACTCTTTGGGGTTCAATCCAAAGCACATTCAATTAGCACAGCAGACTAGGGGCACGTCTTCACTACCCGCCGGATTGGCGGGTAGCAATCAATGTATTGGGGATCGACTTATCGCGTCTAGAGAAGATGCGATAAAATCGATCCCGGATGGCTCTGCCGTCGACTCTGGAAATCCACCGCGGCAAGAGGCGGAAGCGGAGTCGACGGCGGCGCAGCAGTGGTCGACTCACCGCCGTCCTCACAGCCGGGTAAGTCAACCTAAAATACGCAACTTCAGCTACGCTATTCACGTAGCTGAAGTTGCGTACCTTAGGTTGACCCTCCCCTCCCCCCCCGTAGTGTAGACCTAGCCTAGATTAATAGCCCACATTTTCAGTGAATGTCTCAAGATGTCAGATAACAGAGCGACTGTCCAATTAGTTAACGAATGACTTCTATGTTCAATCAGAGACTGAGAACATTTCAACGGTCTCTCTCACAGCCATTCCCTTCCTTATCTAGCCTCTTAGTAAGTCAACCACATATTATAATTTTCCTATTTTTAACTAAACTAATGTTTTCTTCTCTTTCAACTCCTTCCCCGAACTTTCTATTGTACGTCATTTACTGAACACAGTCTAAATAACTCCATAGTGCAGAGAATTAGGAGTCTGAACTCCTGCATTCCACTCCCAGTTCTGCTGCTAATCTGTTGACCATGGACAAGTCACTTTACTGTTCCATGCGTAAGCTTCCCCATCTGTAAAATGAGGATAATAGGGAATTTGGGATGAAAAAAGGTCCTCAGAGAAAAACACAAGAGAAGTGCGAGGTCTGAGTACAGTTTAAACCCTCCTCCGAATTAGAGTTTACTTCTACATTGTGATTTTGCTATTACCAATTTGGCCTGAGACAACAAGCACATCCTCCAAACTGTTACCAGTACCAAGGGAACATATTAACACAAGGGAGACTCTCTCCTACATGGCAAGTATTGCATCCAGGGCTGTTAAGCAAGGCTATCCATCTCCCACAAATACCCAACTTTTAATTTCCACTCTTCATTCAATTTTCTGACTCTGCTTCAAAGACCTCTCCTATTTTATGCAACTTAAAGTTACTTCAGATCAAAGAGGCATAATTTATATCAATAACACACAGCGGTAAGGAGCCTGAGTGGCAGACAATCAGATGATATGGCTCACTGCAACAGCTGGATTAACAAGAGACTGAATGAAGTCTTTTAGGAAATATACAAGAGCCATCTTTCCAAGAGACCACAATTTAACTTATGCAAAGCTCCTTTATGAAAAGGATTGGAAAGATTACATTTTTATTGCTAAATGTCAGTAAACGTCAATTTCACCCAACACAAGCAAACCAATGAACAATATTTCCATCGATAATAATCATATTTTACAGATAGGCAAAGAAAGAAAAATGTTGCTTGAGAAGTTATTAGCGTTTGGTTTAAGGATATTTATTTTGTATATTTTGACTTGTGATGTTGACAATTTGTGTTTTAACAGTTATAAAGCTTTAATGTTTTGAATCTCAACGTCCTCAGACATTAAACCATTGCTGTCTGGCCCCACACTACTGTCTGACACCTCCCATAATTTCACACAATGAAAATGTAAATTGATAAAAAATACTTAAATATAAACATTGATACTATCAGTTGAAATCATGAAAAAAAAACAATTCTGCTAATCCTATTTATGAATAATTGAAAGGGCCATATACTTCCTCTTCATTTTCCAGATAAAAAGGGCTCATTTTATTTTGTTGCCATGTTTTGTGACAAAGATGAAATTAACTCATTTCCCCAATATACTGAGGGGGTTTGTTATAGTGTAAGAGCCATCTATAATACGGCCTGTCAGAGAGGAACAATTCGTCCACACCAGACTGAAAGACTGGCCAAGAGCCTCGGGTTATGGACAAAGTAAAACCAAAATGGCTCTAGCAGAGCACTCGATACCTGCTACCGAGGCTAGTGAATGGACTGTAACAGTGCTCCTGAGATAACTAATATGGAAAAAACAGTATGATTACAAACAATGGGACCAATGCTAACTATTGTAAGCAGTACCACCGTCATTCTATATGAGCGGGCAGAATCAATTCAAAGAAGCTTTGCCAATAGGAAGGAACGACTGCGCAGATAACGTAGGAAAATGTAGTGTGAACAGAAGCTGGATGTCATTACTTAATGGAATCCAAGGGCTTTCAGTATATACATTTGAATTAGGACATTACATCTGGCATCTTCATTTCCATTTTAATGATTGTGTTTTAGTGTAATTACTAAAATCTTGGATTATCTATCCTTTTTCCCAGCACTCACACATATAATTTCTGAGACATCTGCTGGTTAGCATGCACACATTCACTGCCCTCTACTTCCCACCTTCTCTAAGCCAAGAATTTAGCACGTTTTTACACAGAATTTTAAAGTAAGCAAGAGCTGGGGTTTAGTACAGTTTTGTTTCAGGTAGCTGGGAACTCTTAAAAGAACACTGAAATTTGACTTGGTAACACGAGGTACTTAAATGTAAGTGTCATTTACCACCTCTGCATTGCCTGGGTAGCCACTTGGCACTCAACAGACTCCCACAGCTCTCACCCAGCCTAGACTGGGCTCATTATAAAAACCTGTGGTGGATCCCCCAACTGAATTATCTCGCGCTAATGTAAGACTATCCCCAATTGTTGCCCCAAACTGAGACCCAAAGCAAATTAAACTTCTGAGCCTCAATAAATGAATAAATTTAAATGGTGAACTGTTTTCCAAAATCCTGTTTCTGTTTCCCCCCCACCACCACCACCCCCGTTTTTGGGAGCATCAGCACGTATGGGTTTGGGCAGAGATGGGAAGTTCCAAACTCCTGCAAGAAAGCCTGTTCTCACAAGGCATGATTTTGCAGACTCAAAGTTTTGGACAGTTTGGATAAGCAAATAAATTACAGGGTGTTCACCCAAACTGAACCAAATCTCTAAACCTTTAAAGGTCATCATGTCTTCACTTCATCTAGCACAAACTGAAGTGCCTCCTACTCTATACAGACAAACTAATGAAGGGTCTAAAATTTGAGATCAGCTGCTGGAAGAAAAAGTGAGATATGTATTTTCCAAATGGATTACCTTATTCCACCTACTCCCTATGGTGCATGTCCCAGTAATTGTCCCCAGCAGGCAAACCCAGGGAAATTCAATCCAATCAAAACTAGAGCAGCTGGAAAGCAAGGAGGGAAAATGACCCATCTGAAAGTGTACCTGCAAATGAGATACAACTGGAATGGCTCAGTAGCAGGTAGAGGGGGGTTTGTTTGATTGTTTTTGCATTAGCTTTGCAATTTTCTAATGCAGATGAGAGGTTAGAAAGCAGTGTTAATCAGTATCAATGCGTTCACAATTCACTGTCAAAGTGCTAAAACTTGGCATTTGAGACCCTACAGTGACTGGAAACATCAGTAAAACCACAGAATCCCTACTAGAAAGAAGAAATTATGGGGCTGCACTGGCCATTTAGTTAGCACTGCAATTGATGACCAATAGCCTTATTTAACACGCATCAGTGCCATCACTCTGTACTTAATGATAATGCATCTAATCAGTACAACATTTCTAGATAATTGAATGTGCATGTTCTGAGCAAGCAACCTTCTAGGCCCCCTATGTAGTAGGGCCCCCTATAGCCTGGATTCTTGGGAAGGACACTTGGCAGATTTCACTGTTTTAAGGAACCATTTAATCTCTTTTCAGACCAGTCGTACATCCTGCCTATTGTGGCGTGGCGCAAAAACTGTCTCAATTATGTTACAGATTTTTTGCAAAGCCGAAGCACAAATTATTACCAACGCTGCTGCCATCGTCCCGCCATGTACAGCATCCATTTAGCTAGTCCTCTGACAAAAACACAAGCTGGCCTCCTTTAGAGGCACAGACGCAAGAATGCACATGCTAATCAGTGTGGTACCTTTACTGTAGCTGAGAATTGTCACTGAACCACATTTAATTATAATCACAAGAGGACAGAGAGCCTTCAGTGGTGCATCATGGAGGACTGAGAGATTTGTGACTATGCAGAGCCACTGGCCAACCCTCCTCCCACTCAGAAGGGAAGCAAGGAGGCCTGAGAGAGAGAGCAGCTCTGAAAGTGTGGGGCAGAGTGGAGATTCCCCACCCCCCTCCACTGAGCCCTGTGGCAGGCTCCTCTGCAAGGCCCATTTACTTGCGTTTGGGAGGCACCTGAGGATTTGGCCCATTCTAAGGAAAACCAACAGACCTTTGAAAGTGTTGGTTAGATTTGTGACAGATGAATCCTTTTTTCAGAGGATTAAGGCCCTGCCCAACATTTTCCAGGATACAGCTATGACCAAACATGGTTAGGGTCCACACACAGTCTGACTGCAAACAACGGGAATGATGCTGAGTACTCTGGGCAGTCCCACAGCCATCCTGCATGGCCCTGTCAAAAATCTCTTTTAAGGGCATCTCTTATGTTATATGCACAGGATTCTGTGCCAAGTGTTAATCTGAGTAGCCCAGTAACCTCTTAAGGCATCCACACATGAAAACTGGGCACATACTGTTTATGTAACATGCTGCTGCACTCTGACTCAGAAATGCTAAAAACAATGTTAAAATTTTGACAGCACATACAAGACTACAATTACTCACCAACGTCGTGGATAAACCTCTCGATTTTGGACTGCATCCCCCAGTATCTGAACTCCACTTTGCACAGTTTATATGCACACATGATGGGATATTTCCCAGGGTTGTTCTTGTACCCCTCAATCCAGTCCTCGGACAATGGCCCTCTTTTAGTCTTCACAGATTTATAAACCTTTGGATCCTCTTCTGACTTGTATTCATGTGGTGGGATAGGATCTTTAACAATATCAATAGGATCTAAAGGCAGAAAACAACGTTTTTTAAAAGTTTTCTCTTTCTACATAACTATAAAATAACACTTAAAAATCGCTTTGGTGTCTATCAGAAACATTAAAGCAATTTAGCTCCTTTGTATTTTCCCTTAAACAATTGATATTTAAACTGTTTATACAATCCTGCTAGACAGGGCTGTTGACAATGCCTGGAGAACTCACGTGTACAGTCTTAGCAAATGGATATTTTTGCCCAAAGATTTTGTAAACCGAGGGTATTTTGGCAGATCTGTTACATCTTTTCAGCTGTAAAAAGAGTTTTTGTATATTTCACCCTTCAGCTCCTCTCATGCCACCACAATGCTGTAGCTCTGCCTAAATTTAGAAGCTTACAATTCAACAGTTCTTTTCTAATAATATCATAGAACAGAGACTAGCCACTGAATATGGTACCATTGCAGAACATCACAGTGATGTTACTGGTTTACTTCTCATTTGCTGATGTTGTGCTATGGACAATATGTAACCTGAATTTTCTTTCTTTGAAGTCTAAAAATTATTTAATGAATACTTTTGTGATAAGGGGGACCAAGCAACTGTAGCTGAACTAATGAATGCATCCTAAAAGGTCTGTAAATAATCCTGAGATCAGAAAACATTGTTAGAGGCATCTAAACTTCCATCTGAAGCGGTTATATATCTCAGTTATTCCCTCAGAATTGACAGGCCTTTCAATACATTCTGTATGAAGGAACATGACTCAAATCATTCTTATATAGAGTTAATTTAGTACACAAAGGCTGATCAGGCAGGTTTGACATTCAGTGACGAGAACACACTAATCCAGGCTGAAAATAACAAAAAATTTCAAGCCTACAGAAATTAAACACAATAAAATTGCACCTTAGATACTATCTTTGCCCACTGATAGGCAGCATTTCAGGAGTTGCTAAGAAAAAAGGTACAGCAACCACTAGGTGTCCTTCTTCCCATCACTGGGATACTGTGCTTGCTAATCTCACAGTCCCTAAAAGAAGGCCAGGCAAAACTCAAATCAATCCATGAGAGTGTCAGTAGTTTCATAAGCAAGTGATGCTTTAATGGTGTGTAACTATAATAGCCAGCACTAACTCCGACACAATGGGTCTACTGCTTATCCCATAGGGACTGGCCAGGAGGAAATACAAGCGGCAGGAATCAGGATGACACTTGCCATTTTCGGCCTTTTCACAAAATGCCCCCTTTTGCCTTCTTCACATTGAAGTCCTTTGTACGGCTCAATAAACTGATCTGCCCAAAAGGGTGCAAATGGGAATTTAATGCTGAAATGTTGGCCACTGCTGAGATGGTACTGGGGAGAAAGGGGGAAGATCCTTCATATGTTTTGAAAGTTTACACAGGAACAATGTTTTCCCATACAAAGAAAATGTATTATTATAAAATTATTTAAAAATAGCAATACTTTCCCCTTTGATAGCTCTATCTGGTATCTCAAAGCCCTTTAAGAAGGCTTAGTCCTCACAACATCCAAATGAGGCAGGAAAGTATTAGCCCCATTTACAGTTGGAAAAATGGAGACAGATGGAAAAAATTAAGTGATTTGCCTGCAGCAGGGCCAGGAACAGAGCTCCTAGTTACCAGTTCTTTTTTGTAACCATTAGACAATGCTTCTTCCCCTAAGAAAAATTACTATAAAAACTTCTGTGTCGCAATCAATAGGCAGGATAGAAGAAAAAGTGAGGGGAAAAGTGATATTCACCAAGAATTGTCTGTCTTTTTTCTGCAGGAGAAAGGTTGAATACATTGACATGATCCCCTGGATCGGCTTTATAATACGTTTCAATATCAATAGAGAATTTCTCCACAAAAGGACACGTATACCTGGAAGAGAAGAGTAATGAAGCTTAGACTAAAGCCTATTAGACTTGATGGAGTAGAGAAGTGCTTTCATAACAGACACCTAAATACCGGTTGCGAATCCAGGCCATTTCTCGCTCATGTTTTGCTTTAAATACCATTTAAGATGCAATCTGCATGTACAAAAAAGGAGCCAGTGATTTTGCTGTGTTAACATTTTGTTCTTAAGGCCAGAGCGTGGCCTCAGGACATGGTTTATATGGGAATGCTTGCTACACTAAGACTCCAAGACCACAGATTATCTCCGATATTAGGCTAAAAGTGACTGCTGCCCATCACGCTAATATCTGAATGCCTTCCAAATACAGTGAATGGCAATGCCAAAGTCCCTAGGGCCTCATGGAGTATTTGGCTCTCTTCCCTTTTGGGGATTAACCCTACACCTAGTAGAGTTTTTATTTCTTTTTTTAAAAATTAACAAATACATAATCAATAAAATAATCAATAATAATAATAATAAAGCCCTCCGCATGTTAATATCTGAGAACCTCCAAAGTATCTTTTATTTCTATCCTTAAATCTCTCTCTCCCACGTCTCTGACTCTCCAACCTAGAACAGGGTCGGGATGCAAATCCAATTTCACTTTTACTAGGCAGTGTTTGACATGCTGACCTTGCCATCTTCACATACATTTAAATATAATCTAAGTTAACTATCAGATATTTGCAACAATTAGTGGAACATGCAGTGTGACACACAAGACGCTGTGTAAAACATTAATGATTTTCCACACTTTGGTGCACAACTGGGCTTACACTTTTAGACAATGGGCCAAATCCTGAAGTCCTCACACAGCCTGCTCACACAAATCTCTGAGGACTGAGTAAGGATTTCAGGACTTGGCTCCAATGTTTCCCTAAAGAATGTTCATGGAAACACAAGAGATGTCATTGTGACTCAGTCATGGCAAGTAAAGTGATATTCAGTTCCTTTCAAAATCTAGGGAGGGCTACATGGAATAGTACCTTGTCCTTGTGTAAGGATATGCATTCCATGACTCCTCTTCAACTCTTAAAGCTGCCTTTGGCAGGATAGACCGAAACCAACTGGGTATATGCATACCAATATGGTACACTTTATGGGTATACTGCCCAATGCCACCAGGACCATCCGTGTATGGCCTATTCTCCAGGATCTCCACTCCACTGCCTTCTCCACATGTCTCTTCTCTGCTCTTTTTCTGAAAGGAAAAGACACCACTGTTTTTACTCATACACATTTTACATACCACTTGCTCAAAGCACATTAACATGAGAGATGGCATTTCTCCTACATGAACTGACTGATATTCAACAACAGCCACTAACCACCAACACATAAGAATGGCCCTTCTGGGTCAGACAAAAAAGTCCATCTAGCCCAGTATCCTGTCTTCTGACAGTGACCAGTGCTAGGTGCCCCAGAGGGAATAAACAGAACAGGCAATCATCAAGTGATCCATCCCCTCTGTGACAGGGTCAGGCCAGATGGCTACAGGAGAGTGATAGAAGGCAGATATATTAGCCCCAGATTAAGTAGGTCTCTTTTCCCTGGGTAAAGTAACAGGGAAGGTTCCAGAACAATCAGGAACTTTCTGGAAACAATTAAGGCAGACAGGCTGATTAGAACACCTGCAGCCAATCAAGAAGCTGCTAGAATCAATTAAGGCAGGCTAATCAGGGCACCTGGGTTTTAAAAAGGAGCTCACTTCAGCTTGTGGTGTGGGTGTAAGGAGCTGGGAGTGAGAGGATGTGCTGCTGGAGGACTGAGGAGTATAAGCATTAACAGACACGAAGAAGGCCGGTGGTGAGGATAAAGAAGGTGTTGGGAGGAGGCCATGGGGAAGGAGCCCAGAGAATTGTAGCTGTTGTGCAGCTGTTCCAGGAGGCACCCTAGACAGCTGCAGTCCACAGGGCCCTGGGCTGGAACCCGGAGCAGAGGGTGGGACCGGGTTTCCCCCAAACCTCCCAATTGACCTGGACTGTGGGTTCTACCAGTGGGGAAGGTCTCTGGGCTGTTCCCCAACCCACATGGTAAATCTCTGAGGCAAGAAAATCTACCAATAAGCGCAGGACCCACCAAGATAGAGAAGGAACTTTGCCACACCTGTCACTCAGTCACAGTTTCTGGCAAACAGAGGCTAGGGACACCATTCCTGCACAGACCTTCCTCACTGCAGAGTCACCCAATGGTCTCATATTACCACATGCTACCCCCAGAATCAGAGAGATTATAAATGGAAGAGACCTACTGGGTCATCTTATTTATCCACTGACCAAAGCAGGTATGGTCTATTAGACACCGACTCAAGCCAAAACTCTAGTACAGGACAGCCTGGGAACTGTGAAGAAGTTAAATCAAGATCCAAACCCAAATGTCACAGGCAACTCCCCTATATATAATAGGCTGAATCAAAGCTTTGCATTCGTACGCTCTGAAGTCTGGATTCAGATCTGAATTGATCAGACCATACCACATAACCTTTTACATTATCAGAAGTAGCAGGAATTGGGTTTTGCCTGCTTTGACATGTATTTTTGCAATATTACATCAGAGTGACTAATCAACAAATATTAGCTGCAACATCACAATGCAATATATAGGCAGAAAATGTAGCATTTAGTGGCATTTTCCTTTAATGATCTGGCAAGAGACAACTCTTTAAGAACAGCCTGAAGACTACACCCTGATAATTAAGATATTTATAGAAAAAATATATTAAATTCGCCAGAATGCACACAGCACCCTCTGGCAGCTTCCATATCCCGGCTTATGTTGAGAACTGTCCCAAACCCTGGCAGCATTCCTTTAATAAGAAAACCTAAGTTCAATGCCTGCAAAGAAAGACAGAGATGTCCAAAATGTTTGTGCACTTCTAACACACATGCTGCAGTGGGTAGGATAATGCAGGGACTTCAGTATTTCAGAACACCTGACTCATTTTCTTTTTTTGTTTTGTAAAGTGCATTGGAAAGTTAACAATTTAAAAAATTAACAAATTGGAATTAGTAGTACAAATTGACTGTAAAAGATACTGCAATACTGACCCTTTCTTTTTGGCAGAAAAACAACATGAAAGGAAACATGGTTTAACAAAAAGTGATTGATAAGAAGCAGAAGATCAGAGTCTGTGTTTGAGGACAAAACAACAAGCAAAGAAGAGCTATTTACTTTCAAACCAATTCTCAAAGCATTTTAAATCTCCCCCTCCTCCCCGATAACAGACAAAAAAATCTAAATATAAAAATGTTTTGGGTCTTGTTTTTGTAAATTGTGATATGCAGTTTAGATAAGCACATTTGTAAAAATAATTTATAGAGAGAGCATTGAGCTTGCAGTTCATTAAACACACATCCTCTTAAAACAAGTTACGGTCTTTCAGTGCTTATGTAAGCTGTGGCCAAGTCCTGTCCAAATATTTATGACAATAACATTAAATAATCTTGATGACCTGAACATTTTGTAATTTCATAACATAGCAGGTCTAAGAAAAGGCAGCAACCCAGCAGGCATGGTGAATGTGTCAGACAGAATAATAGTAGAGCATAGGGTGACCAGATGTCCCTATTTTATAGGGACAGTCCCGATATTTGGAGTTTTTTCTTCTATAGGTGCCTATTACCCCCCACCCTGTCCCGATTTTTCCACACTTGCTGTCTGGTCACCCTAGTAGAGCATCTGGTCTGAAGAGCCGATACAAATTATGGTGCCCTAGAGTTTCATTACATGGCAGTAGTACATGGAAATCTGAAGAAGCAGGGGAAACATGGATGACATTTAGTGCCAAATCACACCATGTAAAACCCTGCATTGGCTGCCTTGAGACCTACCACTGGAGATGATAAAGTCTCCAAGAACTCAGAATCAGATAACAGCTCCCTGCTCTGGGCTGAAACATGAAATAGCCTGAGTGAGCACCCTCAGTTCGCACTGAAATCAGCACCCAGGATCAAGCCTATTATAACTCACACAGAACAGTAACTGTGTGTGGAGATTTGCAGACAAACACTTGCATTGGATTTGGATACTGAAATGCTGATGATTTATGTGGCCTGTTTTTATAACCATAGCGGATACCAAGATGGGTGGGGGAGGGGGAAAGAAATCTAGGCTTTATTCTTGATAAAAGCATGTAATTCCATACACTTTATATCATGGCTATAATTGAGTTAAGTCTGAGCACAATATCTCCACTTTTGACTTTCTGCTAAAAGTTTCTCATGTCCCTTATCGTCTTTGAGAGAGCTATCCAGTGGGCCAACCACTTTGCTGGCCCAAGTTACAACCTTGGAGGCCCAACATCTGCATTTCTTACTCAGATGAGACTCCCATCGAATGGATCAGAAAGTTGTGCCGCAGTAAAGGATTGTCTATAGGTGCCCTGCACAGCAGGTCATTTTCTTTAATAAAATACCAACTGCCTACCATGGAGCAAGTTTGAGACAGGATGGAATCAGGCCCAGCTGTCATCATGGCAGAAGAGCTTTGCTTTCTCATATTGTATTTACTGTCTATATAAACGGCATGAACTTCTGCAGGGCTTGAACTGGGGGAAAAGTGGCTGTATTCTCCCAAGCTCCACCCACTAGGCAAGCCACAGTGACATGCCACTCACAGCCCATTGCACAGATATTCAAAATATGATCACGCAGGCTCTGCTGGGCTCCGAATCACCCGTGGGCAGGCTGGATTAAGGCAAAGCAGGCACAACTGGCATGTACCAAGGGCCCCAGCTCCCAGAGCATTTAAAGAGAGTTATGTTTCTAGTCCTCATGCTTACAGCTGCCGTTAGCCAGGAAGGAAGCCACCTGGCCCCACACCCACCAGCAGCACAGCCTTGTCCCTCACTGCTTGGAAGGCTGGGTAAGGGGCTGGTTGACAGAGGGCTTGCAGATGCCTTGCTGGGCTCTGAAATATTTGCTCCCCCTTGGTGGGTCTCAAATGTACCCAACCTCTGCTCCTCCCCTCTGACATGGTGGCTCCATGGCTTAGATAGGGGCAGGGTGTGTGTGTGTGAATGGTGCTCCTCTCCCAAACACCAATCAATGAAATGAGACTCCACTCAGAGTACACTGTGCAGATCTGTGATCCTCCTTCTCCCCCCCCACTTATGTCAACAGCAGTGAAATAGCTAACAATGGTGACGTTTAAAATAGCATCACCGGACATCTGAGTTGCTAGCCCACTGAGGCAAATGGGGCAGCCCCCACCTCCCAGAGCTACTGTTTCAGGCTCTTTGCAAACACAGGCAGGAATCAATGTCTCGGTTGAACTGTGCTCATGTTTTCAGTATAGGTGAAGAAGAGTTCTCTGTGGCTCAAAAGCTTCTCTCTCACTAACAGAAGTTGGTCCCATAAATAGGGTGACGATATTTCTTAAAGTAAAAATGGGACAGCCCAGGGTTCACCCAAGCTGTCCTCCCCACTCCCCCCCGCCTCCCCCCAATCTGGTGAAAGAGAAGATCTTGGACACTTCACAGCCAACATCTTTCCTCATGTGAGTCCCAAACAGAACTCTGGTCACTGTGGAGATCAGGAAACTTTTCCCAACCCTTATTTTTTATTACTGGGCTTGGGGCGCACCACCCGAGCACCGCACCGGCCGGGGGGGGTGGTCAGCTCTGAAGGCAGTGCTGCCCACCCGCAGCCAATTTCTCTGCTTGCCTACTGGCGGGCAGCACTGCCTTCAGCTGACCCCTGGGCATCAGCCGCTGCTCTCCACTCGGCCTTGCAGCTGTGACAAATGCCCAGTTTTGGCAAAAAAGTAGGGACGGGCAGGACAGAGCTGAAAAAGGGGTCTGTCATGGCCAAAACGGGACGTAGGGTCACCCTACCCATAAAAGATATTACCTCACCCACCTTGTCGCTCTTAGGTTTTCAAGATTGTCTCCACCAGTCTTAGGGTTAGAGACTCAGGCTATGGCTACACTACAGAGCGTGCAGCTGCGCCGCTGTAGCATTACTAGGGCAGATGCTTTAAGCCAACGGGAGAGAGCTCTCCCATCGACTTAATTATTCCAGCCCCCGCAAGCAGTGGTTGCCATGTCAGCGTGAGAAACTTTTCCGCGGACATAGCACTGTCCACGCTGATGCTTACGTTGCTGTAACTTACATAACTAAGGGGGGATGGCTTATTCACACCCCGAGCGACATAAGTTATACCCATGTAAGCTGTACAGAGCCTTCACTTAAAAAGCTGCTA